TTCTTTTTGTGGCACTTAGTGATATGAACTTTTCTCTTAGCACTGCTTTCATAGCGTCCCATAGGTTTGGATATGCTGTGCCTTCATTTTTGTTGATTTCAAGGAGGTCTTTAATTTCTTTCTTGATTTCTTCCTTGACACAGGGGTGGTAGTTCACTGTTCAATTTCCATGAGTTTGTAGCTTTCTGAGCATAGTATTGTTGTCAAATTCTAACTTTAATCCATGGTGATCTGATAAGACACAGGGGGTTACTCCATTTTTTTTGTATCCATGGAGGTTTTCTTTGTTACCAAGTATGTGATCAATTTTAGAGAAGGTTCAATGAGGTGCTGAGAAGAAGGTATGCTCTTTTTTTGTTTCGGTGGCATTTTTATAGATGTCTGTTAAGTCCATTTGATTCATGACAGCTGTTAGTTCTCTTATTTCTCTGTTAAGTTTCTGTCTGGTTGACCATCCATTGGGCGAGAGTGGAGTGTTGAAGTCTCCTACTATTAGTGTGTGAGGTTTGATGTTACGTTTAAAGTTTTTTTTTCTTCTTCTTGGTTAGGATAATCAAGTATTCCTGTTGTGTGATCACTGGGTTCTGGTGTTACTATGTTGCTTTGTAGGTCATTGAATGAATTCTTACAGTGGTGCCTACCCATCTCTTCCTTCAAATGAGGCTGAAAGTGTCTTTGTGTTTTGATCCAATCCTTGCAGTGGCTGTCTGAGTGGGAGTTTTTCTTGGTCTGGTCTGTACTGTCAATGCCTGTGTTTCAGAAAGCTTCTGAGGTCTCCATAAGCCTGCTCTCTTGGTCTTCTCTCCTGTTTCGCTCTCTTGGTCTTCTCTCTTGGTCCCCTCAGTGTTGTAGCAAGCTCTTAGCTTTTAGGCAGATTGGGGCTAGTAGCTTGGAGGGTCCCGGGGATGATGTTGGTTTTTGGTGGATTTTATCCTATCTGCATGAAACTCCCTGCTGGCTGCCATGAAAAGCCAAGGGAGTTGGGAGAGGGGCCCAGAGTTTTGTTCTAGAGAGTGGGGTGTCCCTCCATGTGGCTGTTTACTCACCTCTTAAGTCTCCCTAGCTTTGGTGTAAGCTGTGTTTCAGAGTTCCACCGAGGTTGCAGGAGGATAGGCCCAGAAAAGACTGTTTTAAAAAATAAATTTAATAATAATAAAAAGAAAACAAGAAAGTCTGAAAAAAGGCTATGAAAAAAATGCTAGCCCTCAAAGCTATCAGGGACAAAATGTATAGTGGGCATAAAGGAGGCTTTAGATTGACAATCTTCAAGTCATTTCTAAAATAATGAATGTGTATATAAAGATGGAAATCCAATGACGTAAGTATAAGGATGTGATTTGAAAGTGCTGCCTCTGATCAGGCCACCCAATCTTCTGCCTCCTTTCTCAGAGATGCTAACAAGCACCCAAGAGTTTGTCAAGGAGGTCTGCCTAACAAACTTCCAAACTAACAAATTTCCAGACACCAGAATTCCTCACCAGGGAAATGAGTTAACACAAAAGGGCCATTAGTCATGTATCTTGTTCTGCACCCCCTTCCAGTGACTCTTGCCTGGGAATCAGGTGGAGATCTGGCTACACTGTCTGCCTCTGGTGCTGAGTCTGAACTCTCCTCGAAGGCCCTGCCATGCTGCTCCAGGCTCTCTGTGTGTTCATGACCTTAGTGACTTCTAATGACTCCTTGCTTTTCAGCTGAAAAAAGCTGCATGACATAGTCACAATAATTGAGTCAGTTTGTAACTGAAGTATAACTAGAAACATCAGTGGAATAGAACACAGGATTACAAACAGGCGTACACATAATTTGGAATTTGATATACAGGATACTATTTGAAATCACTGAAACAAAATTAGATTAGAAATAAATTATATTTGGACAGCTAAAAATTCAGGAAGAACTTTTAGCTAGCTCTTACTACATGTCTTCATACCAAAACAGATTATAATAGATTAAAATGGCCATACTTAAAGAATTAGGTAAAAAAGTAACAGAGAAACTACTAGTCATTGACAAAAGTTTGATGAAGTAAGTCCCCGAGGCCTCACAGAAGACACAGAAGTTATAAAATGCAAGACAAAGTTGATTTGGGCTCTGTCTAAAACATATGAAAGCTCCACTATTATAATAATACTATAAGCAAAGTAAAAAACAATCCTAGAGGACAAAGAAGGGAAAATGCGAGTGAGTATTAGACACATATAATTTCATATACTTATTCCAACAAACCAAGAATAATAAATAAGTAATGTCAGAAAGAAGCAAAGGATTCAAAAGGTCACCTATAATAGAAATCATATGTCTGTGTTTGTGTATAAACAGAACATTATAAAGCTCTACTTTGAATTTATATTGAAAGGTAGATTCCCATTTTCACAATTAATGAAATTAAAATACAAAAATGAAATGCAGTTTTTTTTATACATTGGTAAACAGTAGGTGCTGGAAAGAATATAAAAAACAAACATCTTCCTTTTGTGCTTTCTTACTGAGGGACAACTGACATTATCTATCAAAAAGTAACAATGTGAGTACTTAGCCAGGATTTTGCTTTTGAGTTATACTTGCCTAACTGCTAAAAGATGAATGCACAAATAACTGTAACATGGCAGATAACAACCAGCAACTGAGTCACCTAATGGTCACTTAGGGAGGACTCATTAAATTATAGCCTGACCAAACACAATTTAGTCCTTGAGAAAGAACAAATTAGATCTGGATGTACTGCTATGGAAAATTGTTCAGATACACAGAGTCTAAAATGCACGTGTCAAGAGTGTATGCTTCGTAGGACTCCTGTCTGAATTAAAATATACCTTATGTATAAATATGTTTGCATATGTGATAATCATTTCACGAGGTGAGATAAACTACCCTGTGAAGTGTGGTTATTTGTGTCAAGGGCACAAGGACGTAAGGCAGCATCAGCGGGAGGGATATTTCTTTTTATGATATATTGCTCTGTGTAACTGAAGATTTTTCTCTAACTATATAATAGCTTCACAAAACATGTATTTAACCCCGGGTCCAGTTTAGCTAGGGAGGCACAGGAGGTATAGAAGGTTTAGGGAGTGTGTTTGCTGGTGACTGAAGCAGCTTGTTGGGATAAAAAGAATGTGTGATCATCGGTCCTTCATGTGGTGCCAACTTCCCTCTTGCCATTCTAAGCAGGACAGAGCTACACAGAATCCTCCCTTTCTATAACAAGATAGAGATGGTAACAAGATCTTGCCAGAATATTATTTTAACTTCCTTTTTCTAGATATTTAGTCAGGTTTAATCTTTTTTCATTTCTCTTCCACTGTCCCACCCCCACCAGATGATACCCAACGTTTCTCCTCTTTGAGGGTCCTGTGGAGAGCCAGATCTGCCCGTCTTTGTACTGAAGGACTCACCTTTCTCTTGAGCACAATGATGGCAGAAGAAGAGAGTAGGCATTGTAACAAAAATGCAGGCAAAGCTTTTTCCTACTAGACATCTGACATTAAGGTTCTGAGATGCTGAAAACCATTCCATTGTAATTGCTATAAGTGCTCATGTACTTTAGAAAACATTTGAGTTGTTTAAAGGCAACAGCTTGAGAATTCCTCTGGGGCTGAAGTAAAAGCTGAAAATCTTTGACACAGATTGCATCTGTTATGACAATGGTAAGAAAGTACTGATGAAAAAGACTATGCAGTTTGACAACTCTTAAATGCTTTTGCTCCCTTCCTTCTTTGCTCTCTCCCTCTCTCCCTCCCTCCATCCTTTCATCCCTCTTTTTTTTCCTTTCCTTTCCTCTCCTCCCCTCCTCTCCCCTCTCCTCTCCTCTCCTTCCCTCCCCTCCCCTCCCTCTCCCCTTCCCCCTTCCCTTTCCTTCCCTTCCTTTCTTTTCCTTTTCTTTTCTTCCTCTGGGAAGCCAGGCATGATCTTTTCCCCATATATTGAGGTTTTATAACTGCCCGAGGAGGTAGCTGCTGAATATTCTCCCAGCTTTATTCTCTTTCTTTTACCCCGAGAGAAACATTTAGGCTCTATTTAATGATGTGCAAATGACAGGATTCTTGTAACAGGACGGGAGGTTAGGATTTGGAAATAAAGTGACTTTATTGACAAGTCACTGCTCTGCAGGAAAAGCCATTGAAAGCACAGTTTGACTTTCCTCCTGGTGAAGGAGGTGTTGTCTATGAGCTCTAACAGGCACAGAGGGCAGCTGACTGCTTCTTGCCTGCACACCTCACTCTCACGAGGTGTCCTCGAGAGTCACATTCAACAGGTGCAGTGAACTTGTTCTTGATATACAACACCCCCAGAGGGCAGAAAAATGTTGTTGTGTATAAACCAAACTCTCTCTCTCTGTGCCTGTGAGTGTGAAATAAGTGTGTATAAGAAATGATACCAATACTCTTATTTCAAATTATTTGGAACATCAAGGAAACCTCCACAGTTCAGATGCTAGACTTGAAAGATCAGCTTCCCAGTCCTTCTCAAGGTGATGCATGTGTACATGCATGCACACATGTATGTGTGCATATATACATGTGGTATGTGTGTGTGTGTGAGAGAGAGAGAGATTCTGAAGATGTTGGATTTCCTGCAAATAAATTCATATACATCAATTTTTGTCTGGTTATTTTGGATAAACTTGAATATATTGAATATTTAATCAAGGTATAAACTAACTCTAATAGAATTGTTTTTAACAATTCTAATTGTTATATAATATTATATTATATAATACTATTGAAATCATAGTATTTTTTCCAAACCATCGTTCTGCTGTAGTGTTATTGCTCATGATAAATTATTAGAAGGGAATGATTCATAACATCTGGCTTCTCAGCGAGACTCAGACTCCCTTCTTTCATGGGAAGGTCTCCAGGAAGTAGCATCCATATGGAACACAGAGAGGAAACTGATGAAACAACATGTTTGAAAGTGGGTGGAACTTGAAATCGCAGACACGGAATTCTGGGGAATCTGACAGGACTATATGAGCATAATTTCTATTTTCTTTCTGGTAGATCTGTCTAACCCATCACATCTGCCAGCTGTAGAGGAATGGAACCACAGCAACATGGAGGCATGTTGTAAGAAGGAATGAAACTGAATTCTGCCTAAGATGACCCAGGAAGCATCTCAAGCTATTAGCTCAAGCTTAGCACTCCACAGAAAGGAAAGAGAGCAGAGCTGCACAGAAACAGAACCTTGTGCTAACTCACTACTTCAGCTGCATGGCTAAGAGCAAGAAGAGGGAGCCATTTTCAATTGCTTGACACTGTGCTGTGACCCTGAACAACGGTAGAAATGACCCCAGTAGTGCCCTGCCATCTGACAATCAAATTAGTCCCAGTAGTCACTGCTGCTCCTATGTGTCTGCAAATGGAAGAGAAAAATGTGAAGAAAGAAAACTGTTCCTGTTCTCTCTCCTCCCTCCTCCCACTCTCTCTCCATCTCTCTCTTCCTTCCCTACCCCCTCTCTTACCCCCCCCCTCTCTTTCTCTGTCTCTCTCTGTCTCTCTCTGTCTCTCTCTGTCTCNTCTGTCTCTCTCTCTCTCTCTCTCTCTCTCTCTCTCTCTCTCTCTCTCTCGTGTGTGTGTGTGTGTTTTGGGAGCTTTCCCTTTGTGTTTGAAGCCTCCGGGAGCTGAGAATTCATCTCATTCTAACTATATACTTTGGAGATAGTGAACTTTGGTTAATTAAAGTGTGCTCTGCCAGGAGCGTTGGAGTTGGAGCCAGTGACTTTGGCCTTAACTACTTGCACAAGTGAGAGATGGAGAGATAGCTGTATATCTCATTTGTTGGAAAAATCCACACTGCACAAAGTCTACTGCCCAATCTAGAATACATTTTGGGGTTTCATCATAAACATCCCACAATCTAATAATCATGCAATTGATTGTGCAGTCCATTGTGAGTTAATGCACTTGTAAGGACTTTAAAGTATAGTCTGAATGTTGTAGAAAAGTATTGCTATTAAATTAGTGACACCACAAATATTTTTCTTTTAAGTTTGGACTTTCTGTCTGTGCCTATTGAAGTACGTAAGAATCAGCCTGACGGTCTTAAATATCATACTTTAAAGGCTTACAAGTGTCTTTCCACAAACTACTGTCCTCATTTTAGCAAACCCATGAAGGTGGATAAGGTGGAATCTTTCTGAAGGAAAGATCATTCTGTTCTATAGAATAATTTCATAAAAATAGGTTGTATGCAGTCCAATTATTTCCTTTCTCCCCTTAAAATTAAGTGGAGGGCTTGGCATCTATGATATTTTATTTTCATGTCTGATTACTGAAACTATTTATAAAAATACTTGAGAATTATAAGGAGGAAGAGCCATGAAGCAGGAAAGTTGGTGGATGAGTAAAGAAAATATACACTTATGCAATTGATCAATCTGAAATTACACTAGAATGAGAATACAAGGAAATCATTACAAGTGGAAACTCCACAACTGGAGAATGGGTTAGTTAGGCCAACTGCAATCTAGAGAAACAGATCTAGCTTTCTTTCTTGTTTGACAGATTTGGAGGCATGTCTTTAGTTTCTTATTGTAGCCTGAGAGATTTTAATGCCCCTCCCTTATCTGTATAATTGCCACAGCTGATGTTAACCCCCTGCATCTCCCAGGTGTGACAGTGAAAGTTTTGGCAAAATTCTTGCCTGGAACCAATACTCTCAAAAGTTCCTGCAGGTGTTAATATTTACAGTAGCACAGAAGGTTGGGATCTTTAGGGTATGATAAAGTCAAGAGCTCTGTTCATTAAAGTTATTTGGAAATGCAGTTTGAGATTAACTTAATGAGGTTCTCTGGCTAGAGACAAGCAATGTATTTGTAGAAAATATATAAATTCTTTCATTCAATAAAACATATTCTTCTTATAATAATAAGGGTTATTCATACAACAGGGATGAAACCTACTGTTGACAAGATCTCTTAGAAGACATCGTAAATTTTCTCCAGGAGTGACCTGGTGGACAGAGTATAAGGAGACTTGATAATTGCCAAATTAATTTAAGGAAATTTGATAATTACCTAATTAATATGGTTTTTATGTTAAAAATGAGACCTTAAAATGTAGATGAACCTGAGAATGAGTGTAGAGCTTGTTCCTACTCAATTTCTTCCCTCCATTTATTAGACATTTACTAAATGATAACTGTTATCACTTTTGGTGTATTTTAAAATTTATTCTTAGACTAACTCTGAGATGCCTCCTTATTTGGTTTTAAAATTGAGAAAGCTGAAGTAAAGAGATGTTTAAAATGCATTTCTGAGACACAAAGTTTATTGTGGACTCCAGATTTAAATGCTTGAAAATGTCAGATACTATAACAGAATTTTTCATATTGGTTTGGTGAAGGACTTTGTCTTCAAATGCTGGTACTCTAGTCAATGATTCCTGGGGTACACAAAATAGGCTGAGAGGTAATAAATCTGAGTAGTTTTCCTTTTACTGCATTTTGTGTTGTGAATCTCATATTAGAAATTTTAGAATAAATTTGGATAAAGTGGTCTCATCTGATTTCCTCACTAGTGATGGAACCAGATTTACAGAAGTCATGTTTACTCTAAACTATTCTGTCATTAAGGTGTATTCAGTACCTACTATCTGCTGGAAATACTTACCAACATCCATGACATAATAATGAGTAATATGAACAAGACTGGGTCTCTCCTTATCTCCTGATTAATGGTCAGATTCTGAAGACTCCAAAAGATATTTGAAGAGGAAAGTGTTAGTTTGAAACCCTGCAATAGATATTTCCAAAGGCCTTATTGGCTTTGTAGTCCATTTTAAATCCCCCCCCCCATTTCTTGAGTTTGAGTTTGTGTCAGGAATACTGAAAAGAGATTGGTATGGACATGTTTCTATCAACAGACTCATGCCATTAGAATGTAATAGGATAAAACAAGCTCAGATATCAGCTTGCTGCTCCTCCTGTGTTGCTTGAGACTTGTTTTTGTGTATTTGGTTTTTGCTGGATTCATGAAATACCATAGATAAAAGTACAAATGGGAGGCACTAACTACTGTTCACTCTGCCAACGGAAGTTAGATAAAGGTGTTCCGAAGCTCTCTGATATACAAGTATGACCATTGTATGGCATTTTTTTAAACTTGGTAAATCTGTAGGAGATAGTATCAGAACCAGTGACCCCTTCTCCAAAATACAAACACTGAAGAAGACTCTTCTCTCAGTGAACTCCTCTAGGTAAAGAACTGACAAAGTGTTTCTTCATCTCTGGGGCCAGAAAAAACAGCAATCAGCAGAAAACTACTTTAAGAAGAAACCACTATTCAGTGATCTAGCTCTGGACTGAAATGCCCGTGTTGAAATGTTTCATTCCATCTATTTCCTTGGGAAGTTACATAACCTCTCTATATTCAATTCTCTCTTCTAATTATATAGATGGTAAATTGTGTCTATTTCATGATTTTTTATGAAGAGAATGAGTTAAAGTATGTAAGACAATAGAAAGATATCTGTTACATAGTGAATATTCTATCTATGTTGGTAGCATTGCCTGTAGGTTCATTGTGCTTGATCATTTTGACTCCTGTCTTTCGTGCATCTTCTTAAATGACTGTGGGTCTTTACTACTAATTGTGTATTTGTGATTATTCTATGACCCACTTCCCCCACCTAAATCACTAAATTACATTGTGAGATGCTTCCAGATGGAGGATAGAGAACATGAAAAAAAGAAGTCCTGTAATTTTCTTACTTCTGTCACAAAATGCATTATTGCTTTACACATTTGAGAGTTTAGAATTTTTAATTAAAGCAGCCTCATAATCTTTAGGAGGAGGTGAGGAGCTAATCCATCTTAAACAGCCATACATTTTCTTTACGGTATGTAGTGGAAACAGGCCATTTGTTATTTTGAAGTTACCTAGGATTTAAGAACAACATTTTTCTTTAGAGAATTTAGGTCGCTATAATTCATTTGGGTAAAAGTTTGGTTTAGAATTCACAAAACACCTGCACCTAATGAGGGAAACTGAAGCAGTGTACCTATATTCTGAGTTGTGTTGTTTTTGACCAAGGTTTTCTGTCCTGCCCAGTTTCCGCAGTTGTTAAGTCCCAAAGAAATCACACAGTCTACATTAACTATAAGCTGATTGGCCCATTAGCTCAGGCTTCGTATTAACTCTTATAACTTATATTAGCCCATTATTTTTATCTGTGTTAGCCACATGACTCAGTACCTTTTTCAGCGAGGCAGTCACATCTTGCTTATTCTGTGGCTGGTCAGGACTGCTGAGGAATGGGCTTTCTTCTTCCCAGAATTCTCCTGTCCTCATTGACCTGCCTCTACTTCCTGTCTGGTTGTCACACCTAATCAGCGTTTATTTAAAATATAATTGACGAAACATAGACCACTGTCCCACATCATGTTGTTATATGTCCCAGGGGTAATTCATGCAGCAAACCATTATATTTGTTATTCACAGGCTCTCAAAAGTCGAGCAGCAAGGAGATCCCTGGGTATGGAGAGGACAGGTGTTTGGATAACTTAGCCACTTGGGTCCTGCGTTAGTTAGCTTTCTGTTTTTGTGACATAATTCCTGACATACAATGACTTGGAGAAAAAAGGCTTATTTGGGCTTATAGATTCAGAGGTATTTGTCCAAGTGTGTCACTTGGTTCCTTTGTTTTAGATCCGTGATGAGGTAGAACATCATGAGGTGGTTGGTTATAGGGAAGGCTAGTTATCTCCTAAGGGCCAGTAGAGAAAGAGAAGCAACACTGAGTGCCAATATCACCATTCATGAGCATGCTGTACTAACTACTATCTCCTCAAGGTTCCACTACTTCCCATCAGCACTGCAGACTGAGATCAAACCTTTAACACATGAGCCTCTGTGGTACACTTCATAAGCAAACCGCAACAGTCCCTTAGTAAGGTTTTGAATAGAGAGTTCATAATCTCTTAAACGATTGATTTCAGACATCTTGGATTTTCTCTTCTTGATGTAGCAGAAGGGATATGGGGCCACCATGGATCACACAATCTGTGTAGTCACATGCTGATTTTCCAGATGTGGCAACAACAGTTTCTGAGAACACTTGTAATTTAATGTTGCCAGTAAACAGCTAGGAACAGGAGCCTCTCTGAATACACATGGTACTTCTCCTTCTGGGAGAACATAACCATTTTACCAAGCTAAGTTTCTATTAAGAGATAAGATACACTTTCTTGATTTAATAGCATTGCCGTTAGGATTGTCTTTATATACTTATTTACTTTAGACTTTGACTCTCTGTACTTCAACTTTTCTATGTACAAAATGAGATTACTAATAAATAACATTGAGTGCAAGGGCTTTTGTAAGACTTAACTAGATTACTGTATGTAAAATGCTTAGAATAACACCTGCTCACAGTAAGAAATCTAGAAGAATTTTCTTTTATGGATCTTATAGTATATATTATGTTTAATAAATACTGTATTTAGGTAACCAATTATATTATTAGTCTGGAGCGATTAATCATCAAGAATTATACGAGCTCACTTTATCTCAGTTTTTTCCATACACTTTGTGCCTAGTGGAGAGACTTAAGCATAGAGTTGTAGAGATTGAGAAAAGGAAAAAATATTGGTAATGCTGATCTTTTATTTTGAAAATGACTAATTTCTGGAGAATCTCTCTCTCACACACAGGGCAACTCTAATGAAATGATTTGCTCTGTTTGGCAGTATCACACTTTATCCACAAGACATTAGAGTGGCATCAGGAAAAATGTCCAGGCTGCTATATATACAGTTTTGAACTCTAGATGTGGACCTCGGGTTTGGAAGTCACTTGAACAATAAGGCTCTATATAACAGTTTTCTTCTATTGTTCCTGGAGAGATATGTGTAGATACTGTGCATTCATTTCCCGGCTGCCCAGACCTGAATAATCACCCAGACACTTTATTAATTACAGCATTGCTCGGCCAATGATTTAGGCATATTCTAACCTAGCACATATCTTAAATTAACCCATTACTATCAATCTGTGTATTACCATGAGACTGTGGCTTACCAGGAAAGGTTCTGGTGTCTTTCTTCTTCAGCAGCAACGGTGTCTCCTTTATTCTGCTTACTCTCTCTTTTTATCTCTTCCAGCCTGGCTATATTCCGCCCTGCCATAGACTGAAGCAACTTCGTTATAAACCAATGGTAATAAAACATATCCATAGCATACAGAGGGGAATCCCACATCAGATATGGGGTTACACTGTTCTACCACATCTGTCCTCAAAAAAAAAAAAAACACTAGGCAGACTAACATGGTAAAAATAGCTAAGGAAACAGTCAAGATGCCTCCAGAATAACCAAACGGTGAACTACATTTTGTTTAATGGAAACAGAAGGAAGACTCTACTTCCCTTTATATCAAGGATTTTATGCAAAGTCACCAAGCATCCTTGCTGTTTCTCGGTATCAATAGCTTTGAGGTTTCGGCTTCCATGAAGAACGGCCTCATGTAAAGAGAGGAAGTTGGTTTTCTCAGCAAACTGACTGGAAAGGAAGTGTGACAAGGAGTTGGCCAGTTGGCAGATATCCATGGTTCCAGTATTCTCTCCTTCCTCCTCCACCTGGTATTCTGGTTGTTCCCAGACAGTTTGTATGCTGCATACAGTTCCAAAAGACATACTTATAAGGCTCTAGGTCCCTCTCCCTCTCATTAGTCTTAACGTCACACTGAATAGTCAACTAAGAAATATTGGAAAGCACATTTGTAGCTTGCTGCTCTAAGAAGGGACCAGAAACATGAAACTGTCACCACGTAGGAGAGCTTTTCTGTCCATCATGATGTAGTCAAGAAGATGAGAGGATGGCAATGATTTCTGAGTTGAGGAGAGAAGATCAGTTATCTATTAGTGAATCATTAAAGCAATGGAGCTATAATGTGGTTTCTTATTCTCAATGCAGAATTAAACTTGTGAAGATTAAATATAATAGAGAGAAATGGAGAGAACCTGCCAACAGTAAGAGTATAATTGCATTTATACAGTGCAGAACGCTTGCCCTGAGCCCTGGGGGATAATACAGCCAACCAAGCTGTCTCAACTAGACTTCCTCCTGTAAGTCACAGAACCCAGAAACTGATTGTGGTCACTATTTTCTTTATTTTCCTAGGTTTAGTACAGAGCACTCTATATGTTTAAGAAAGAAATTAAATTGAAGTACAATAGTTAATTCTCAAACCTTATGGCTTTAGCAATTAATCATCTGAGATTAAGAAAAAGTTCCTTCGAAAAGCACAGGAAATAATCATTGCTTTGCTCCACTGCTAAGAAATATTTATTGCTATTTGCATACCTGCTCCCCCCTCACATTTTTCTTCCTCCTTTTACCCACAGAGAGCAGTTTTTAAGGAACTTCTTACACACTAATCTCTGTCTAAGCTGGCTTCTTGAGAAAGAGGAACTGACCTACAAAGTGGAATCTCTATCACTCTGCCTTCTTAGGAAAAGCAACTACAAAGGGAACTTGGCAATGCGAGCAAATGCTACTTGGATTTCCCCTGTCACTCAGCAACCCCACATTATTTTGTTATTTCTGGTATTGTCATTTGAATCTTGCAAGTGTTGGATGTCTATTATAGGGTAAAGTGAGTAGTTCATTGTGTTGATGTCTTTCAAAATGAAAAAACGGAAAACATCTTAAGAAATTGTAGAGATTTAATAAAATCCCTGTTGTGCTGTAAAAAGAGACAGTCCCCTTTGTTCTTGGCAATGCATATTCCAAATGTGGAGGGGATAATGTAGAAAACCCATGCTCAGCAATGACACTTTGCTCTGGAATAAAACTTGTTTTCTTGATTTCCTCTGTAGGACAAATATTGATGCTCATACAGTTGTGAATTGTTACCCACATACTTCTAAATCAGTAATCTCTTCTACTTGAGGTACTGTGATGAAAGTGAAGCAGAAACATGTGATGTTGAGTACCAGAAAGAAAGGAAGTGATATGCTTGGAAATGGTGACAAGTGTATTAGTAAGTAGGCTTGCTTCAAGGAGAGTCGTTACCCAGTGTTTACAAACATTACCTTAGTTTAGTTGATGCAACTATCTGAGAGGTGATATTGGTCACCGAAGCAACGTTTATGCATTACCTGCAGAGAAATGCTCTCTCTCTGCTTCATAGCTATTTTATAAACTCCTTCTGTGGTTATTTCTTCACTGGTGGAATCACTGTATGGTCAGCACTTGTGAAAGAGATTAGGACATAGCCAATATGCATTAATGTTGACTAACAAAATTAATGAATAAAATAAAATGAATTTTCAAAACAAATGATGTTGAATTCCTAAAGGTCACAAGTCAGTTCTACATTTTCTATGCTATTGAATTTGAGTAATTATCAGACTTCATCATTTTTTCTTTTAAATTTTAATGGTCTTTATCAAATATTTGAAATAATATGATTTCAGTTTTCTAAATACAATTCTTGTTTTCAGTAAAAATTCTTTATGATTCTGGCTGACCAGTATCCAAGTGTGGTGATACTTTGTTTCTGCTATAACAAAAAAAAAAAATAAAGATTGCTTGAGTGATGTAGGACTTCCTGCTGTATGCTGTGAATATAATTGATTAATAAAGAAACTGTCTTGGTCCGTGATAGGGCAAAAGAGTAGTGGGAGAAACTAAACTGAATGCTGGGACAAAGAAGACAGAGTCAAAAAAATCCATGGAGCCACTGCCAGAGACAAACATGCCAGAATTTTGCCGGCAAGCCACGACCATGTAGTGATACACAGATTAATGGAGATGAGTTTGTTTCGGATATAAGAATTAGCCAAAAATATGCTTAAGCTATTATCCAAACAGTATTGCAAATGATATAGTTTCTGTGTGATTATTTCTGGAGTCTGGAAGGCTGGCAAATGAACAAGTGGCCTCCTACAACAAATTGGTGCTCCAACACGGTCGACTATATCTGTGTAAAACCTGAGAAAGCTTAAAAAGGAATTCTAAACACACACACACACACACAAAATACAGAGTCAAGCATGAATTAATGTAGTGGCTCCTTTAAGAGATGTTTTTCTGATTTAGCAGTATCAGAAAAAAAGGTGCAGTTTTGAAATGACAGTTTCCTGGGCCGTGCTGCTCACATGAATTCTGATACTTTCAGGAGGTTCAGCTATGAGCTTTTAAATGGGGTTTGTGAGCAGAACGCTACAACTTGCTTAATGGCAACATAGGCCTGCTGTGTGCTTGAAAATGGGACAATGTGCATGGCTCTCAGAGACTGTGAAGATGTCTCTATCATGCTTGACTGTGCAGAGCCAAAAGACAAAGCAGCCTTAGTTGCTGCTTAGCATTTTAAAAGCTCTCCAGGACAGACAAGGATTACGGATACACAGAAGGACGGATTCAGGCATAGAAGACCTCTAATAAGACACAGTGTGTTAAAAACCATACATAGGCTTAGAAGAGAGAAGAACAAAAGTAAAAAGACAGTAAATGTAATACAATAGAAAACAGACAGTCATAGATTAAAGGAATAAAGATAATAAAATAAATATTAAACTTGTAGAAAAAGTAATAGAGTAAGAAAAATAAGCCATGCAAAGATGGAATATACACAGAGTCTGGATTATGTATATTATTGTGTTTTCTTTGATTTCTTTGACTGATTCTGGCTGGTAAGCTAAACCAACATATATATTTTAAAGGATTCTTGACGTCAAAATTTAAGTCTAAGGTTATGTTGCTTTGGAAAAGAAGTTCTTCTTTTGTTTACACAGACGATGAGAACCTGTGGAATTTTTCCAGACTAATGTGGTTTGATGGACCAAGACCTTGTGGAAAGTTGCCATGAACACTCCAGAAATTACTTTGCCCAACAGAATTCAGGAAGCAGTTTGAAGAGAACTATGCCCAAATTCCAAAATATTGTTTATAAATGTTTGTTTACATATAGAGATCAATACTTTGCATTGGTACTGATCTTGGTTTATTGATGCAAATTTAAGATCAGTTTTGTTATGTATGTATATTTCTGCTCTTGATTAAGGTATTGTGTTTGTGCAGTTCATTTAAAAATGTAATGTACAATTAAGAAATATAGGTTAATAGATACTCATCTATAATAGTCAAGCTTGTAGTCATGTTAGTTAGGTTTTCTAGATATATAGAGATATATTTCAGTTAGATAGATATTCTTCAAATCTTTCAGAGACCTTTAAAATATGGCATTTAAAATGTTTTAATAACTTAGGACTTTTCATGACATAAAACACATCTGCTACTGGCTGCACCAATAACTTCAAGAGGAAGATGGGCAGCGAAGAGGCTTCTTATGGAGTTTGCTAGTCATTTGGGTAAGAAACTGCTCTTGCCTGGACTGCTTGATGTTATACTGTGTGAGCTGGACATAGGGAATCCACAGAGAAATGACTGCTAAACTTGCCTAAAGGTGAGATGATCCTTTGGGGTTCTTGCTTCATGAAAGAGTCTACTAGACACTCTGCAGGCCACAGAAAAAGTGACTGACAAACTGCCAATATAGGCAAATCCGTCGCTGAAATTTCCTGCTTCATGAAAAACTCTTCCAGATACGATGTGCCAATATGTTGAAGATGGGTGCCGACAACATTACAGAAAAACTTTGGGTGACTGCCTAGGCAGTGAGATGTATCTGTCAATTCTGGAGTTTTGGAATTTTCTTATTTCCTATTTACTTAGGTAGTATTCCTTCTGGAGTCTTTGATGAAGTTGAAGAATATATAATTATAGTTTTCCTTAGTTATGATAAAAGATAAAGTAGGTATAAATATTGTAACTGTAATTCTTGCTTGATACATGTTTTGTTATATGTGATTTTTCTGTCTTAATGTTAAAACCTTCCTTTTTGATTTAAACAGAAAAGGGGAGGTGCTGTATGCTTTGAATACTATTGGTTAATAAAGAAACTGTCTTGAGCCCGTGATATGGTAGACTATAGCTAGGTGGGGAAAACTAAACTGAATGGTGGTAGAAAAAAGGCAGAGACAGTGAGAAGCCATGTAGCCCCACTGGAGTCAGTTACCAGAACTTTACCTGGTAAGCCACAGCCTCATGGTGATACACAGATAAATGGAGATGGGTTAATTTAAGATATGCTCTAGAAGCCATAAAACAGTATTCTTCAATGGTCTCTGCATCAGTTTCTGCCTCTAGGTTCC